TTTTGCTTGACCTAGTACAATACTGTACAGTACTGTACTCTTTGTTTATAGGCTACTCATCATTTCATATGCTCTGTTTTGAATATGTTGAAGATGCCTAATCTTTCTAAGTTATTTTAAGTACAGAACCAATAGGTGTTTTATTGTACAGTACTGCAATGCGCAATAGTGATCTTGTGTGACTACTTTTGTGACACCCGAATAATTTAGTAGTTAATTAGTACAGTATTGTAGTCCTTTTTATTAAAACTATTTATTAACTTATGAAATATTGATGTTTGCATCTATGCAGAAACACTATTAGACTGTATTATAGTTTTAATATGTTCTGCATCATTGTGGTGCCAAATTTGCTCTCTACTGTGCAGTGTATCAAAATTTTAATTAAGAGCATTATGTAAGGTACTTTTCAGTGTTTCATAATAGTGTACTGTACAGGTACAGTAATTGCTGTTTGCCCGTATTTATATACAGTACATATGACTTTTCACTGAAGCATTTTACCGTTTTCTACAACCAGATAATAGAAACTTATATCACTCCCCATTTTAACATACAGTACTGTATTACTATGTAGACCTAAAGCATAGTACTGTACTATTGTCTTTGAATTTCACGTATACAGTAGTACATTATTTTTCAGACTACATTCAAGATTGATAAAAAAGATGTAGTTTCCAGTAAGGGGAAAAATTAGTGCTAGGAGATGTTAACAGAAAAACCAGATATCAGATGAACACCGTTAAAGAGAAATCCGGCTGTGAGAAAGATTTAGGAGTAATGATGAGTAGAATCTTAAACCAAGTCAACAATGTGTATTTGCTTGAAACAAGGTGAACAAAGTACTGCGGTTCATACAAAGGAGTGTTAGTTACAAGATTAGTGGGGTCATCCTCAAACTATATCTTACTTGTGAGACCTCACTTGGATTACACAGTTCAGTTCTGGTCACCGTACTACAGAATGGATATAGAATTCCTAGAAAGAATTCAGAGAGGAATGGCAAGACTAATCCCGGGCATTAGGAACCTTAAGTACAGAGACAGGTTAAATCATCTTAATTTGCACTCCCTCGAGAGACGTAGAGTGAGGGGCAATATGATGAGGTGTATAAATCGAAGTCAGGGCTAAACAAAGGTACTCAAACTATCCAACCAGGAGCGAACTCATAGCAATGGTTTTAAATTAGACAAATTTAGATTTAGGCGCGAGATAGGTAAACATTGGTTTGGAAATAGAGTAGTGGATGAATGGATCAAGTAACCAAACATCATCATTAACTTGAATACGCTGGATAGCTTCAAACATAGGTTGGATGGATATATGAGCGATAGGGGTTGGGTGTAAATGGGACTGCCCAGTATGGGCCAGTAGGCCCGCTGCAGTTTCCTCCTTTTTTGTGTTTTTGTGTGTTGGTCATGCTGACTTTGTGTTGATTTACCAACCATGATGCTATTGCTGTATAACTGAGCATGCTTGTTGATTTACCTGTTTGGTTTAAAGTGGAATATAATTGGATTTTAGTGAAAATGGTGTACACTATATTTCCTGTAAGTATAGTGTTAGAAGTATGGAAAACGTGTTGTATAGTTCTGACGTCCTGTTAGAGGCAAAGTAGATAAAGTGCTCTGAAGTCTAACCCTTTGGCACAGCTGGGTAGATGGGGATTGCATCCCATAGAACAGAAGGTGAGTGCTGAAACTGCTCTGCTGCATCATCCTGGTGAAAAAGTGAAAGTGGGTCCCATAGGCATGACTGCCCATTATGGACAGTGTAGATACAGCACACTGTATACTAAGCCTTCGGTACACAAGGAGGCAGCATGGCCGGGTGAACTGGGAGAGCCCGGCAATCGAACCACCAACCCCTGGAACAGGAGGCAAGCGTTGTATCCGCTAAAACCACTAAAAGTTGAGCCGTTGGTTTGATTTTTATCCCTCAGTTCATTTATTCTCCCTAAAAAGTTTGTGCTCAATGAAAAGTTTTAAAGCCTGACAGTAATTTTCCAGGGAAGTTGGGACACTGGAAGCTCCAGTGTATTTTTTCTGCCATACAGTATTGTGAAATGTAGAGAAAATTTACTTTAAAGTTTTAAGTTTTGATAAAATGGTGGTGCTTACATTTTTATATAATTTGTAGCATTATCATTGACTTTCATTGAAAAATTAACTGGTGCCATAATGTATTCTTATCCCTCAGTGCACAAAGGCTTAATGGCTTAAAGTTGTGTTTTGATGAAGATAAAATTACTGTACTTGTACATCGGTTTTTATTTTGAACTTTAACCATCAAGTAACCCCACTTGCATTTTGAATCTAATATTTGTTACCAATCAAAAAATCATCATTCTTTGTACAGGTATCATGATATACTGTACAATGTTGTAGATATATGAGAAAAGTATCTAATTGTGTCAGATTGAATACTGTATTAAGCAGATTCATACAAGATGTCATGGCTCACTCTTAATATCTTTCTGTAAAATCACTCTTTGTCATCAAGATGTTAGATCATGTCAGGTATTTTACTTTATCATTTGATGAGTTGTGCCTTAACCTGAAAATATTTAGCAGCTTATGAAAAACTCTGGTGTTGGGGATACTTGAAGTACTTTTGCTCCTCTCTTTTTTTGCCTAATACAGCACAGTATGTCAGTGCTCTAAGACTTTGTTTGTGTATACTGTACTGTATTGTATATGGGTTAGTTGATTTAGACCTGGATGGGCTTAACTCTAAAACCATATTGTGTTTTCATTCCTTTGAAAAAGTCTTTGTGACAAAACGTCAGGAATAAAGCTCCATCTCTTAGTCGTGTTTCCTTTACTACCACACAAGTGATGGTACTGTGTGCAGTACTGTACTGCAAAACTTGATAGAAACTCCATGACTAAGCATTTCAGATTACTGATACAGGTTACTCAAGTATACCATAAAAGATAGTTTAATTTGATGGTCAGGAATGATGCGTGAAACTTATATTTTACTGTACAGAACAGCATGGCCTTAAAATTTACGGGAGATTGTGTCTCAAAAGGGCTGTGAATCTTTTTTGCTGGGGGGGGGGGGTGTTAAGTACACTACCTTAAGTTGGGCTTTGTCCCTGTACAGATGCGTGATTATCTTAAGCTTGGTTTCAATTATCACAGATTTATGGGTCTCTTGGTGATGGTGTGGGGGTAACAGAGGAAGCACCACTATGCATGGATGCCATTGTGTACAAATTCGCAAAAGGATGGCATTATTACAGACAGATAAAGAGAAAACACTTCATCTGCATCGAACAATTCACATCTGGTGGGCCAAAATGGCCTCCCCAGTTGGATCCCAGTCCGTGCCTGGCGTGGAATTGAAATTTTTGATCAGACCAACTTGTGGATCAACAAATATCACCTTTGGATAGCAAAAAAAGAGGTGTAAGAATATAATTTTCGTATAAGCGAATTTTCGGTTAGCAATCATTTCTATAGCAAGGGATACCTGTACATTGTAATTTACTAATCACAGTAATCAGAAGTTAAACCCTGTATACAGTGCAGTAGTACAAATCTTTCACTGTAAAATACTGTACAATATTACACTTATGGCCACACAGCTACCTACTTTCTCCATGTGGTGTGACCTTGAGGCCTTTTTTTTATATAATATTAGTTCTTGGATCGTACTGGTGCTGTATTATAGAGAAAATAGATGGCGACCTGTGATGTAATGGTCATCATGCTCGCCTCGCAAGCGAGCGGACCCAGGTTCGATCCCCGGGCAGGGTGAAACTACTACACCATAGGCAAATTTCTCTACACTATTTGCCTCTGTCTACCCACCCAGCAGTAATTGGGAACCTGCAAGTTAATCGATTTGCAGATCGTGTTCCGGGGTAATTGGTTAGCCGGTGCTGTTGGTGAGTTGTCCGGTCTTGTTGGACTATTCCTTGACACTGGGTCATGCAACTCGCAAACTCAGGGTGTGGTTGTTGTGTTGGCTATAGCTTCTACACCTTTAACTAATTCACGCCCAGGTGGCCCTTGGGCCGGCCATTCTCATTACATGAGGGACAACCATTAATGGGTAACTACTCTAGAAATTGAGTTAATGTATGGAGACAAACTGGGTATGGATATACAGTATCTACATTAACTTCTTTACAATTGATATGAATTAGGAACAGAGTTTGCAAGCATAGGATTTAAATGCAAAATCCTTTATGAAAGTGTAGTGTACAGTACATAAGAACATAAGAATGGAGGAAACTGCAGCGGGCCTATTGGTCCATACTGGGCAGTCCCATTTACACCCAACCCCTATCGCTCATATATCCATCCGACTTATGTTTGAAGCTATCCAGCGTATTCGAGTTAATGATGATGTTTGGTTACTTGTTCCATTCATCCACTACTCTATTTCCAAACCAGCGTTTATCTATTTTGCGCCTAAATCTAAATTTGTCTAATTTAAAACCATTGATACGAGTTCGCTCCTGGTTGGATAGTTTGAGTACCTTTGTAATGTCCCCTTTGTTTAGCCCTGACTTCCATTTATACACCTCTATCATGTCGCCCCTCACTCTACGTCTCTCGAGGGAGTGCAAATTAGGATGCTTTAACCTGTCTCTGTACTCAAGGTTCCTAATACCCTGGATTAGTCTTGTCATTCTCCTCTGGATTCTTTCCAAGGATTCTATATCCATTCTGTAATACGGTGACCAGAACTGAACTGCGTAATCCAGGTGAGGTCTCATAAGCGCAAGATATAATCTTAAGATGACCTCGCTAGTCTTGTAACTAACACTGCTTTTTATGAATCCAAGTACTTTATTAGCCTTGTTACGAGCAAAAACACATTGTTTACATTGGTGCTTATGTAACTTGAGACAACACTAAAATATTTTTGTAACATGCTTTGTCACATTTTTTGTGTCTAAGGTGATTGTTATTGTTAATCTTTCTTTTAAATTGCCAGTGTTTTTTTCCAGTATGGGTATTTTTAAAAAGATTTCCTATTTACAGGTGGTCCGGGGAGCGTTGTGATGCCCCCCCATCCGGGCAGTGGACAGAGTGACAGTCGCAGCAGCAATATGCATGCGCCTGGATACCCCCCTGGTGCTCCACCACATATGTCATCAGGGCCCCCTCCAGGTCCTCATGGTTATTCAACAAAGATGGGCCACATGCCTCCTGGAGGTCCTCCAGGGCCCTCCTATGGCCAGACAGGGTATCAGGCAGGGCATCAATATCCCCCAGTCAGACCACAGGGCCCAATGATGCAACCATACCCACAAAATTTTCCTCCGGGAGCTCCGCAAGGTTCTCAGGGCCCTCCTTCCTCCATGCCGCCTGGTCACCAGTACCCTCCACGGCCCCCGCACAACAACCATGTTCCCCCCAGCCAACCATACGGGTATCCTCCATTTGGGACACAAGGTTGGGGAGGACAAGGCATAAATCAGGGTCCTCCAGGACCAAGTATGCCTAGCTCTATGATGCCTGGGACTCCTGGTATGCCAGGGAAAGGTGGTCCTGTCCAGATGCCTAGCCAGGTTGGTCAGCCAGGGGCCAGTAGTGTGGGTGGTCCCCGGCCTCACACACCCCCACACTACCTAAAGCAGCACAATCTAAAGATTGGTGCATATATGGGACCCCAGATGTACCCAAATGGTCCTGGTATGCCAGGGATGCCAGGTATGCCTAACAGTAGTCGTGAGAGTCCTCAGAACAACATGCCACCACCCACATCCACCCCACAGCCATTAACCCCATCTAGTACCCCATTGGATACTGGAGATCACTCTGGGAGCAATACCACTGTCAACAATAGCAACCCACCCTCTATAGGCCCTGATGGTAACCCTGTTGTGGATGAAGCATCACAGCAGTCTACCGTTTCCAACAATTCTGCTGGTAAGCTTATTATATAGTACTGTATACTGGTTGAGTATTCCTTATCTCAAATTCCCAAATCTGAAATGCCTTGAAATTCGAAAGACTATTTCATTATATTTATGGTAGATTACGCTGAATATGGCATATACAGGGTATCATTATTTTTACTAGGTTAAGTATGTACAGTATGTGTAATGAATAAAGTTAATATACAGGCTGCTTAGCACTCCCGAGTCGGGCGTCATGGCGAAGCTGAACAGACAGTAGTGATTGCTTACCTTTCTGATTCATCAGTGTGCATCTTATCATGTATTTTATACACAAAACTACCTGAAGGCTATATGCATCCATGTGCTATCAATGAAATATAAATGAATTTCATGCATAAACTTGAGCCTTGTCCCAGCTGGGTTGGCTGCTGCATTATACAGATACAGGATTTAGGTATTCCAAAATCTGAAAATATTCCTAATTTGAGACCCTTTCTGCCCCAAGCATTTTGGGTAAAGGATACTTAATCTGTGATACAGCATATTTGTAGATAGATAGAGATTGATAGATCAATAATTTTATTTTTCATGTCTTAATAGCCCCTTTTTGGGGGGCATAAAAGTGGTCTGATTGGAAATATTTTTATATATAGTATACAGTATTGGGAAATCACTTATATTAATATGTTATGCTCTGTATTTAATGTAATATTACCTTTACAGCATCAGGGGATGATCGGTCGGGTACTCCAAAGCCTCACAAGGATGGCCCTATGGGTGGTGCAGGCATGACAAGTGGAATGCCAGGCGGACAACATCCACCTTCCCACCCTCCCACACCCATCAACTCTGCCCCGTCACCTGGTGCTGTCTCCTTGAGCTCCCAACAGGACGATTTTGAGACCGTGAATTCTCCTGGTTGGCCAAGAAGCCCCAGCACACAGACGGTAGGATGAGCCCTTTGGTCTCAGTTTGGGGATATTTTTTTGCCCATCAGGCTGTTATTAGGATACAGTACTGTACAGTACTTCATTTTAACGAGACATGGAGGGAAAATTGGATTCTCATGTGTCTATGTTCAGATGGAAATCAGGACGAAGAAGTTTTCTAGGGTAAATTTAGTTTACCATTCTTTTAGAACACACTGGTCTTATGTTCTTTTTATATAAATATAATTGTTAATGTGTCTTCTCACTTAAAGTCCCAGTGAACACTTGATATCAGTACAGTACATGCATACATTACAAAATTGCATTTCACTTTTCTATGTCTGTTGTGAGATCAAATTATCTTCTTCTCTGTTTCAATTATTATAAATTAAGAATGTATTTGACAAGATTCTAATTAAGAGAGTACATTTTTTTCAGTTCTAAGAAAGTTTAACAGCATAATTATTGTAATATTGCTTTAAAAAATAATAATGGTACAGATGGTACAGTAACAGGGTGGAATATATATATAGGAAATTTATTATAATGCATGTTAATAATGTTACTGGATATGGGTATGGATTTAAGTGCGATGGCTTTTATAATGCTGATTTTTTTTTTTTTTTTCATTTTTTTTTAAAGATGTACAAGGCATTATTGTGGTATCCAAAGCTTCTATACATACAGAATAATAAAGGCTTTCTAGTAGTTTTTATATAATATATGTTATTGTACAGTACATAGGTTAAAACTCAAAAATTAAATAATGTAAAAAAATCAATACTTTAATCACTGTCAAGTAGAGTATTCTAAGCCGGTATTATCAGTGAACCTTTTATGGTATAATGTGAAATTCTAGCCATAGAACACCTTTATAGTTCATTGATACATCCCCGTCACATTGTCTCTGAATATCTTTCCACCAAGTCTCTAGTCTTCACTCACATGTCTTGTCCTTACATATTATATACACAGTTGATTCAAGAAAATCTGTAAATCAGTTGTCCCAGAGTTTCAGAGAACTTGCACTTTTGACAAATTAAAAGATAATATAGGTTGATTCACTACTCATGGCAAACTTTGCACTATTTTGAACATCCCATGGCCAGCATCCATGATATGAACATTTGTCAACATGAGTGGCATTCAGGTCCAGTTTTTAGGATCAATGTTTATAACTCAAGATATGTTTGAAATACATACTCGACATTTAATTGACTAATTTTCCCAATTTATTTACAAAATCATGTTTCCGTTTATCACTACACTGGTGTGTGCCAACCTCCCTGGGATAGGCCTTGTTTTTTGTTACCTTTTTTATAATTACTGTATTTTTCTTATTAGAAATTGTGAGCAGGATATGAAATTACAAGAAAATTCTATAAATTTTAAGTGTTTTTGAAATGCATAAATAAAGGGATCAAGTACAGGTAAATTCAAATAAATTTTAATGTAGGTACACTGCAAAGTCTCCCTTTGTGGGGCATCAACCCATAAGTGTTACTTGTTTTGGGAATTGTAAATGTCAGTACAGTATAATGATGTCCAGCTGTTAAGCAGAATTTTCTTCCAAACATCACACACAGTATTGGTTTTTGTTTAAAAATTACAAATCAATTTAACAGAACAGTATAGACTGCATTCAAACCTTAGAAAATAAGGTGAATATGGATACAGTACTTGGAGCAGGAGTCCAATTAACACGTCTGCTCCCTGGATTTCCATCTCCTTCATTTCTTATGCATTCATTGTTCCATCCTTCCATCTCATCACTGCTCCCTCCTACCATCCACATCTGGCCTATCCATACCATGTAAGCACTTTGATATGTCCCTTGGAGAGTACATGTTTACCCTGTATGCCAATATTTTGGTATTTCTTATACTCTTCATTCTATTAACCCACATATAGTTTTTAATCCTTCAAATTTGCTCCTCTTCTTCAATCCTGTTTCATTGCTTAACATTGATACAATTATGTTGGCTAAACAAAGCCTCATAATATGCCCATTTTTTCCACCTTTGGCACAGTTCTCTTTTTACCATACATTGCTCTGTGATTCACTTCATCACTTCATTCCATTTGCTGAAAAATCCACGTTTAGATCTTGGAAATCTCTTCCTTCTCCTTTAATCTCTTCCTTCTCCTTTATATCTCCATTCAACCGTATAATTTTCTTTGTTTATTCCTCTTTACTCATACTATTTGTAAGTTTTAAATTCACTAAAACAGCATTATCTACATAAGCAGCTGACTCTTCTCTCATTTACATTCCTTATCATTTTACATTAGACTTGCACCTCTCTTCTTTGCTTCAGGTTTCACCACTTTACTACCATAATCTAAATAACCATGACAACATTATATATCCTGGATGTAGGTTTTATTCTCTCTTTCTTCTGTTAAGCATAGCCTGTACACTCTTGTCAACCATCCTATTGCCCGTCTTCAACAGTGGTTCCACCCACTCCTTTCTTACAACAAGTCTCACCACCTTAATACCTTTTCCATCCTGTACTTTGACAATATTTCATTCGATATATCCTAATTAGGATAATTCTACCTCTCTCATCTGTTGCATTAAGCAGTCTTAAAATATTTTCTCCACCTCCCCTTTATTTCTCTGAAAACTTACTTTGTATATTTCCATTTTCCAAGATATTCTCCTTCCATTCACAGTTCATTAGTCATCAGTAATTTGGATTGCATCAAACACTGCGTAAAACCTTGCCACTCTTGACATTTTATCACTTCAAGCTGCTGGCAATTTACTTGTATCTCACAACTAGTGAGCCTTACTTTTCATATATTATATCTTTAATGAACATAGTACACAAGTACTGTAACTGTACAAACATTTTAATTTTCATACTTAATCATATTCTATGCTCCAACTCCTCCTCTTGCTGCTTCTTTTTTCCTTTATACAAATACCCTGTACATCGTTTACTTGAAAAGCACCCTTCCAGAAATTGTTGAGTCTATTTTGGCAATCAAAACTGACCACACTGACAGTATTAACCTTTTTAGTTACCATATCTCCAAACTAATGAGTTAAACCAACTATCCATACCACAAAACTGTCTCTTGCAGGCAACTTAGCAAAATCAACTCCTAATTTTTATATGACCATCTTTAACGTGACATAAGGTGATATGGCACTGTCCTTCCATCTGTAATCTAATCTTTGCTTGTCTAGGCTATTACGTGCATATTGTTTCATAGTGGGTCACCAAACTTGGTGGGCTGCAAGATTTGTTGTATTAAAGAATGAGGTACCAGTGACCCACTTTAAATTCTTGACCACTGTCAGTGAAAAAATCTTAAACTGCCTCATTTTTTCTGCACTGTTTTAGGCAGAATCATCAAAATTAGTTGGTCACAACATATGTAGGTTAAGGTGTTCTTTGTCAGAAGGTCATTGCAACCTACTTTTCACATATGACTATGCTACAATAGTCTCTAGTGTGTGTGTGTGTGTGTGCGTGCATGCATGTGTGTGAATACATAAAGTAACATCTAAGAAGTTCTGTGTTTTCAGTATGTTTGTCATATTTTAGAATTCTTGGTGACAGATGTATAATATATCTTTCATTTTTAACATAAAAATTTCCATCGTCCAGATTCCGTTATTAAGCATGTACAGTATAAAGAAGAGCTGTCTTAACATATTTAATTACCTAAATAGCCATACGGCAAATGCAATCTTCCCTATTTCTTTTACAGTATAAGTGGCTCTTTTTAATTTTATTAACTTTACTGTATGTAGATCACCATATTCACATATCTTGATGAATCAAACATCCATTCATGTGAGCTTTCAGCCATTCACCGGAAATGGGCTTAGCTATTCTGTATCACTCCACTTTTCTTTACTTTTGGTAACTGAAACATGCTGTATGTACCGGACACGTGAAGAGGAAATGGGAGGGGATGAGGAAGGATGCTTGTTGAACTGATGCAAGAGACATGATTGTGGGCTTCAGGCTGCCTTAGGAAATAATGAGTCATTGTTTGCCCTTAGATGGTGTATGGTGAATGATGGTGCCATTCAGTAATGTCATGGATGATGTCATTGCATGAGATATTGGATTTTCAAAATGTATTTTCAAATCTCTTTATAAATGCAAAAGGTTTGATATTCATGTGTGAAGGTTCAACATAGTACAGTAGTGTGGGAGAAAAGGTCATGAGAGTAGACAGTTACAGTTGGGGGATGAGGTAATAAAGGGGTTAAACCATATTGTTAGTAAACATTGTTCTCTTTCTCCAACTTGATGTTGCACCAGTCACTCAAACTGCTGCAGGTGGTAGTTGTTTAATGCTCTTCAAAATTGTTAATTTCGAAAAATTCAGAAAGGAAGTCATTAACCCTATTTTTCATAGTGTCATAATTGCATTCTCAGATGTGTATTTTAAGAACCATATTTATTTATTTTTTAATCACAAGGTGTGTAAAGAGTTACTGTTGAATATTTTTATATACAGAATAAAAAAATGTCAGTAATATTTTTAAATGCATATACTGTATGTAATACAGTACATAGACTTTGTCAGGGCTGTGCTGAATGACAGCTGAAAAAAAAAATTACCATATACTGTATATACCCAAAATACATTTATATTTCCTTCATCACTCCCTCAATCTCTCCCACTATATTGTGGGGTGTTCAGAGCCAAGAACAAATACTGTACAGGCTTTCTCTTCATTTGCTGTCATTTGTTCAAACTTATTGCTGTAACAGGAATGTTCGGCTATGGAATTCCCTTAGCAAAGTGTTTCAAGATATCTACTTGGTTTTTCATGCCACTTCACACAACCTGTCATCGTCTATCAGCAGCCTGTTTATCCCCATAAACCTCTAACTTCATGGTCACCTGCCTTTCACACACACACACCCACCCACACCCCACTGCTCCATGGATATCAATTTCCCTTACATCAAGGAGATTAGTCATTTTTAATTAATTTTAATACTGTAATTCTTTTTGGGGTGTTCATTAATTATGTTCTTTTA